TTATAACAAACAATGATGATAAAATTATGATATTATTATATATAAAATGTTCTTTAAGCATGAGTATATTTATAGGAATAGAAGCAAAAATGACTCAAAATTTGAGTTGAATGCAAATTTAATCCACAAATTTCACATTCTCAATATTAGCCATTTTGTGTCAAAACAATCTTTCGTAATTCCAGAGCCCGTTAACCCATCTTCTGTTCCGCTAGCCAGCTACAAAATTGTCATTACTTCAAATTAATTTTTTTTTTATTTTTGGATATCCAACTGACCAAATAATCTTCATCTTCCTCAATTATTTACGAAAATATCATCATCATCAATTCACCCAACCACTATTTTCAACCAATTTTGAGCTTTAATGGAAACAAAAACCCATTTTGAGCTTGGATAGCTCATTATCTTTCCCTTAAGCTTCTATTCTTTCATTTTCTCTCTATTTTCTTTCCAAAAACTCTATAATTTGACTATTAAAAAGTTGAAGTTCCTATATATTTCTATATTCCGGCGAGTAGGTCATTTTTTGCGGTTGTGTCTCTTTCATGGTGGTTAGAATCAAAGATCTCAACCAGAAAAGAAGCGAAAGACAAGTGGTAAGTCAAATTTTCAGTCAATTTTAGTGTTTTTTAGTTCTGGGCTGCGAAAGTAGACTTCTTTTCACCATTGTGAAGTCTACTAGTCAACGCCCAGGTTAGTTTTGCAATTGACCGCATGAAAAAAGTAGACTTCTTTTGGTCGGAATGAAGTCTACTCTATTTCCTTTGATAACAAAAAAAAAAGGCGTAGACTTCTCGAGTAGACTTCTTTAGAGGCAGGTCATTTTTGCAATTAACCAACTTTTGACTTTGTAAAGTCGACTTCTCAGAGAAGTCTAGTTTTGGAAGTAGACTTCTCACAGGTCATTTTTGCAATTGAAAAATCTTTTACTTTTTGGTCAATTGGAAAAATGACCTGTGAGAAGTCTAGTTTCGAAAGTAGACTTCTCTGAGAAGTAGACTTCTCACAAGTCATTTTTGCAATCAAAAAATCTTTGACTTTTTGGTCAATTGCAAAAATGACCTTGGAGAAGTCTACTAATCTTTTGGCAATTGCAAAACTAACTTGCGAGAAATCTATTTTTATTGTTTTTTTTAAAAAAAATTCATTTTTATACAATATATAACGAATTTTTAAGATTTTCATGATCCTAAGCTTCTGTTAGTAAGCGTTCTTGTTTGTGCATAAGTTTTACATGTTTATATTTTATAGTTATGGTCTAATCAGTTTTTATGTTTCATAAGACACTTCGCCTATTGATCGCAGACTTCTCCAGGAAGTCTACTAGAGAAGTCTACTAAGTAGACTTCTTCAGACTTTCAGAGAAGTCCACTTACTCAAATTTTTGTAATAAAACTTATTTATCTGTAATTTATGACAAATAAAATTTCTTTGACTCTTGAGTTTGTGTTATTTATTAATCTTGCGTATGTATAAGTTTTACATGTTTTTTTATAGTTAAAATTTAATTAACTTTCTTGTGTTATTAGGGGTTCAAAGATGTTGATGACTAAGTAAGATGTCAAGGAAGAAATATGGTGATTACTGAGTAAGATGCCAATGAAGATGTCTAAGTAAGAAGTTTACTTCAGATGTCTTTGTAAGAAGTCTATTACGTAATATAAATTTATTGAGATAAACCTTATATTATGTAATATAATTATACTTGTGAAGTCTACTAGAGAAGTCTGATTGAGAAGTTTGAATATGAAGTCTAACAGCGAAGTCTATTTTGTAGAATACATAAACACGCATAATTTAAGAATATGATACAAAACATTCAATGCAATTCAACATTACATAGAAAATAACCCTCTAAACAAACAAACATTTAAGGGTCATTGATTATGAATCTAAAAATTGGCATAAGAAATCACTACTAAACTAAATGTCTGAAAATATGTCTGCAACTGAAGTCTGCTTGAGAAGCTCAAGAAGTCTGCTCGAGAAGTCTGCTCGAGAAGTCTATGGCAGAAGTCTGCGGCTGAAGTCTGATTCCGACCAATTTTGCCGTATAATTAATGTTTTGAACCTTTAAATCACTTAAAATCGGCGTAGACAAGCAAGAGCTTTGTTGAGATCTATACAACAAAACCAGAAATATAAATAAGGTCAGATCTGCAACAATAAGAAAAAAAAAATGTTGAAAATTAGATTTGCAATTGCAACATAATCTACTATATTTATAACATTCAAATCTGCAAAAAATCAACAAAATTCTGCTCTCCAATAATAACAAAAAAATTTAGATCTGCAACAAAATTCAGTTCTATAACAAAAAGTACAAATTTATACAACAATAAACTCAGATTTGCAAAAATATACTTAGATCTACAGCAATAAGCTCAAATCTATAATAATAAGCTCAGATTTGCAATATGAACACAAAGCAAACAAAAAGAGGAACACAGAAGCTCAGATTTTCTTACCACTACCATAGCCTGCAAGTGAGAGGAGGTTGAATGCAAGATAGAGAAGATGGAGAGGAGATTGACACCAAGAGAGGAAGGAGAAGAATTTCATGGCCACAGAGAGAGAGACATTTTTAGAGATAGAGAAAGAGACTTTATTGTTAATACAATTAGGTTAAACTCTCCTTATATATGTAGAAAAAAATTTGTTTAATTAGGCTTCTTTCTTAAGTCTGCTCGAGAAGTCTACTGGAGAAGTCTTCTTTTTCGGTCTACTGGAGAAGTCTGCTGGAGAAGACTAATTCGGCTCGAGAAATCTACAAAAGAAGTATACCTAGTATTGGTTTCTAACCTAATTTGTCTATGTTGATTTAAATTGATTCTTTTGTATCAAATTTTATTTTTTATGGATGGAAAATGTATATGTTTTGGTTATGTATCTAATATTTTTTTAATTATTTTTATGATTTTTCAATTAATTGTAAAGAAATTATTAGAGAGTAGACTTCTTCGAGAAGTCTACTCGAGAAGTCTATCTAGTATTGGTTTCTAACCTAATTTGTCTATGCTGATTTAAATTGATTCTTTTGTAACAAAATTTATTTTTAATAGATGAAAAATGTATATGTTTTGGTTATATATCTAGTATTTTTTTCAAATTAATTTTTATGATTTTTTTTAATTAATTGTAAAGAAATTATTATAGAGTAGACTTCTCTGCGATAAAACAGTAATTAAAGCTGGCATTTTTTGTATGGTCGAAAGGGTTAAGATTGTAATTTCACTAGTCTTGTGAGTTACTTTTGACAAACATGCAATAAATGGTCTAGTTTTGCATTTCAACTCAAGTTTTGAATCATTTTTAGCAATTTTCCCTATATTTATATTACAGCTGAAATTCAATAAATTAATATTTGATAAATTATTAAACTTAATCAATAATTTTGTCTGGTCCTAAGAATATAATTATAGCTATTAAAATTTATAAATTAATAACTCGATAAATCAATAATTTTGCTTGTTTTCAATTTTTTTAATTTATTGAATTTATATTGTATATACGTAAAACAATATTTTATTATTAATTTTAGATAGTTTTTATATAATTGAAAGTATTATTTTTATTTAACAGATTTTTATAATCTTATATTAAGTTGATTTTTTATTATTAACATATTCTACATAATTAGCTTATTTTTATATATTTTATTAGTTAGTATAATATTAGAATTCGAAAATTTTCTTTAAAAAAAAATTATACATAATTTCCTTATTTTTGATGTATTCTAGTTAGTATAATATTAGAATTTGAAATTTTTTTTTAATAAGTCAAAAAAGAAAATAATTAACTTAAAAACATAATTAAGTACAAATAAGGATATGGACCAATGAAATGAATTTTGTTATACTTTATATGATTTTTATTATCTAATAATATGTTAATTTTATTTTTATTGTTAGTAGGAAAATAAGATCTAATTTTTATACCTTTTAAATTCTTCTTATTAATACCTATCTACAATTTAAAAACTTTTTTATAACATAAAAACAAAATTAAATAAAATTTAGAAACTTTACTAATAATAATAAAACAAAATTTGTTAAATCTAATATATATAATTAACTATAGATGATGATGCATACTAATAGAATTGAAACTTTTATTAGTAATAGATATCAAACAATTTATAATATATACTAGCATCGTTTTAAGATCTTTCAAATTGAGTCACCGTTTCTCATGAGAAAACACCATTAAAGAATATTGAAGATATTTCTAGTGTGTAAATCAAAATGAGAATATAGATATCAATACTTCGCAGATTTACCTCTTTTTCGTTTTCCTGTAAAGTTGGTTACTTGTGATTTTGAATGCATTCATTATGTGAAGTAGGAAATGACCCGCGTGTAGACGCAGGACTACATTGTATTATATATTTTTAATGTTATTAACTATATAAAGATATAAATATTGTTAAAATTAATAATTACACTCCTTTGGTTATAGTTTTCAATGTTATTCTTATTAAATTTAAAATTAAAATTTATACTTAAATTTTCTTAAATTTTTTTTGTCTTGAACTTGTAAAAAAGAAGAATTTTATTTTCATAATTTTATATTGAAAATAAATAACTTAAGTTTACGAAAGAAGTTAGAAATATTTAACTTGCTTGATAAATGATTTATATTAATTCTGAAAACAGAAATAATCACTAAAAAAAGATAAAAATTGTTTGATGTCGTAAACTCAGCAGTTTGAAAGAGAAAAAAATGTAAAAAAAAATATAAGAACGTGCGCAATATCAGTAAATCATATTTTTCGCACTTAATTCTGTTAAGATATATTATATGTTACAGACTGGTAAAAACAATTAACAGTTTGAGACAAATCAGGATTTGTTATTTTCATCACATTAACTAAGACACATTCTAAGCCAGACTAGAAAACAGGAGGCTGTTGACAAAAAAAAAAAAAAAAAAACTAAAACACGTTACAATTTTTCCATCACATCTTACATCATAATTAGAGAACACATTTATTAACTGCTTTTTCTTTCTTCTTTTTCTATTAGCCTTCATAAATTCATTCATGTAATCAAACATGACTGTAACCACACACTCAACAACCTTTTAAAACTGGTCGGAAATTGAAAAGCAAACCATTTATAGCATTGTTTCACCATCTCCATTGGGGCAAAAAGAGAAAAACTCTAAGGGTTCAACAAAGCAAACACACATAGAAGAAAAAAGAAGATATATGGGACAGTCAGACCAAATAGTAGTACACATGCTACAATGTTTGCTTGCGACCTGAGACCATAAGCCATCAAAGTCAAGGAGACTCGCTTCCTCTAGGAGAAGCATCGTTGGGCTCATAATCATTCTCTTCGGTCATCTATCGGGCTGTCCCCACCGCATCCCACAGTAGGACTGACAACAGAGTTTCTGCCATTGCCATTGTCTTGTGGGCTACCTCCATCATGGTCTGATTTGTCTTTTCTAATAGTTGGTCAAATGTACGTGTGCTCAAACCTTATAGTTGCCGACTTTGACCAACATAAAATGCAAAGAATGATAAAAGAAACCTCTATACATTAATAATGCTTCACAAGCAGACAATAATGCTTATCTTCACTGTTTCAAATGATATCAACAGCTTTTATTTTTTTAAAAAATCAAAGTAGGTGACAGTTCTAAATTTCTTATATCGAGAGGATTACCATTGCAAACTCAACAAAAGCAATGCGGGTTTGGTGGTGATAGTCTCCAACCCTCAGACGATGAACCTACAATAGATAAAAATTGGTTGTAAAGCTGAAACACACAAATACACACATATAAAAGCGTTATTCCAAAACCAAATCCTTACCTCTCCACAAAGCATTTCAAAGAAACCTTTCAAGTCAGTTTGAGTAATCTGCAAATTTTATGAAACAAAGACGCAAATGAAAGTTCCTTTCTCCAAATATGATCTCATAAGATAAAATGGTAAATGGAAATCAAATTTACCCGCTTGTCAATGTTGGTACAGTAAACAGTCCTCACGCATCTCGCGTTCATCCTTAGACTGTGAAAGAAAGAAATCACCATTATGCTCGAGATTTGATTAAACTGATGAAAATAGGATCCAAGTTATGGCATGTTTATGCGAACTTACCCTCGGGAGGAATGTCGGGTTAACAGGTGCAATGGCAGTTTTGGAAGGAAGCACCTTAAGAGGGTAAAAACCGAGCACCGTTCCTGACATTGTCAATGCAGCCCTAGCTCCCTCTGCAGCAACATTGCTTGATTAGTTAAGGAAACAGTAGTCGACTTTCCTCCCGAGAAAGGGCTTTGGTCAAGGGAAGAGAAGAGTGAACAAAAGAACCAGTTTGGCTCAGAAGGAAGATGTGATCACGAGAACTGTATATGTCAATCAACAACCTTTCTTGAAAAGCACCTTCATTGGTGAACTCAAGCGACTTTGGGTCACCGCATACACGACAATCAACAACCTTTCAATCCCAAAATACAAAAAAAAAGGTTCATATGAGGAAACGAGTTATTGCAGAAAATCTATATATTTTTAAACATAGTAAAGATCATTACATGTCCACGGTTAACAAAGAGACCTGCAAGGTTCTCCTCGGTAACCTGAAAACGAAACAAAATTAGAGAGGCAAGTGGTTATTAAATAGATTCCTTTACGAGAAAAGTTTTAACGCAAGCCAACAATCTCCAAATTTTCAACCTGTTGATCAATGTCGGAGACATATACAGTTCTCCTGATCACATCTTCCTTCTCAGCCAAACTGGTTCTTTTGTTCACTCTTCTCTTCCCTTGGCCAAAGCTCTTTCTCTGTAGCAACAGGTAAAAACGAGAAACACAAGAATTACAACATTGATATCCAATCCACAAGACAGTTTTCCACACTTTCCTTTCTCGTATCTAGCAGATAACAACACAATATCAAGCCATTTGAAGAATGTAAATCCACAGACATGATGTATTCTTTCTAGTTAAAACCTAAGAACTTCAAAAACTCATTTGTAAAAAAAGGACTTTTGCACAGCTCGAACTGAAGTTGATAGACTGATTTTCAAACAATGAGCAAGCGATAGACTCAAAAGCACGAAAGCAGAACACGTAAAGCTCGAATCTTTCGGTCATCTGTTTGCTGAATCTATCAAAATACAATCTTTTTCAATAAACAAACAAGCTACCAGATCATGGTAAACAAAACACACACAAAAGCTCAAAACTTTGTAATTACCGACTCTCTACATCTCACTCTATCATCATAATCTAACAAAAGGTCACACAATCCACACACTAATCAAAACTAACAAAATGATTTATTTACCCATCAAAACACATACTTTCAATTCAGAACTGAGCGAGAATGTTTAAGGATGAGGATATATATACCTTTCTGGCAAAATGATCATTCCAATCTGCAAAATTGTTAGTAAACCCTAATCCATTTCCCAAAACCCTAGATTGACCTCGAGCCTGTGAAGGAACAAACTCCTGAGCCAACGGATTGATCTTAGAAAACGCACCAGCCAAGGTTTTGATCTCACTCTTGAGACTCTCTCCGTCGTTTTCTCCTCTCTCACCATTCTCGGAATTCAATCCGACACCATTTCCGTTAAACCCATTAGGGGTCTCACCCTTTTCGGCAGTCACATTGGTCCGATCGTTGGTTGGAGAAGTTGTTTTTTGATTAAATCGTGGGAGGAAAGTCCAGAAACGCTTCAGAAGAAGTTATTTTTTGTTTGATGAAGTTATTTAGCGACACACTTTTTTTTTTTTTTTTTTTTTAATTTTTTATACCGATGTGTTAGAAAAAAGGGGTGCTGAGATTCAACTGAGTCTTTATATAATAGATTCTGATGTTATTAGTTCTTTAAATTTGCATGCTTTGTGTTTAGTAAAGAACATTGGATTCTCAAATCAAGCATGCAGTGGTGGTCAAAGTGATGGGTCGTACCGGATCAAGGGGTCAAGTTACTCAGGTTCGAGTCAAGTTCACAGACTCTGATCGTTTTATTATGTGTAATGTTAAAAGCCTGATGAGAGAAGGCGATATCCTCACTTTGCTTGAGTCCGAGAGAGAAGCTAGGAGATTTTGTTGATGCGCCTCTTGTGGTTATTTATCTTTTTATTCCCTCTTAGATTCTGGATTAGTGTTTATTTCAATAAAATTTTGTTGTTACTTTAAGACAATTGTTGAATTGGTATATGTTCTTGTTTTCTGTGTATCTCTTTTTGTCTGAATCTCTATTTAATCAAGACTTATATATTATATGTTAAAAATATGCTTTTTACTCTCAATCTGATTCAACCTAAACAGACAATCATATCCGCAAACCTAAATTTTGGAATTTAAAGAAGAATGGTGTTGAACCAGAAAATCACCACTAGGGATTTGATTAACAGTTGTGAGTTTCAGAGAATAACTTCTTTATTAATAGCTTAAAGATGAAGCGATTACAAAGATTAGTATAACCGAAAAGTTATACCAAAGTGAAAAGAAAGTGTTTGCGAAGTAAACTAGAAAGCATTAGAGTTCTTGGTTTTAGCTCTGCTGCTCTTTAGGTTGTATCAGTTATCCTTCTTGTGTTCCGGGGTCTTCTTATTTATAGGAATATGAGAGCGGTTACTCCGAACTCTTTTTCCTTTTTTCCTTAGGTGAATATTTTCATATTTGCGATATGGAAATATCATTTGTTCTCCGAAGAATATGGAAATTCTCTTTTATCCTTTGAGTTGATCAGAAGCTTCCGGACTTCAAAGATCATCCTTAAGAGTTTTCCTTTTAAGAATCGGCTTCTCAAAGAGAAGTGTTTTAAGCTCGAAGGCACCGTTGAAGCCTTCGGGGGCAAGGTGGCGGAAGCTTCTCGGCTTCGTAAGCAGATTACCGTCCTCCAAGCGCAGAACGATTCCCTCGAGAAGCGGAACGAGGAGAACTTGCAAAAGTTCCTTACCGAAAAGGAGAAGCTTCAAAGTTCTCGCGATGAGGTCTCTCGGGGTATTACCGAAAGGATCTTCGATGGCATGATTTCTTGGTTTAAGCCGCGACTAGAGCGGATTTAGGCATCGCTGGTTCAGCGTGAAGAGGTAGAAGATGCCCTTGTGGGCGTGGAGAAAAGTAGCTCCATGGTGGCGTTCCTAAAGAGGATGCAGGACAAAGGATGGGAACTCCCTGCCAGAACGCTTCCGGTTTTCGAGAGGGAGTTTGCGAAGTGGCAAGCTACCAGCAATGCTATCGACGAGATAGTTATTACTGATGATGATCTTAGCCTACCGAGCAGACCTGATGTCAGCGAGCTGTTAAGGCAAGCACAAAGGGAGCCGAGAGATGATCCACATTGAGCAGCTTGTTTTTTTGTGTATATTTTTGTATTTGATTGACCTCTGTGAAGTCTTTTATGTAATGACTTTGTCCGAAAGGATAATAGAATTTTGCCTTGCTCTTCTTTCTTCTCTTTTTTTGCAAAAGTAAATCGAAATGATTTTTGTTTTTTGAAAGTTTCTGTTAAGCGTTGGAACTTTTTAGTTCGGAGTTGGGGGCGGGATTCCTTTGTTCGTCTTATACCAAACGACAATCAAGATCGAATACCAAGCTTTCAGGATTCACTTCGGCCTGTAAGGTATGATCGAGGGTCGTGCGAGTATTGTCCTCGGTTTTCGTCTTATCAACTTCGAAAGTAATTAAATCAAACTGAAGTATCAAAAGTGTGGTGATCAGCCACTAATTTAATTTTTGCTTTTTGCTTTCTCGAATCGAATGTTTGGCCAGAACAAAGATTCAGCAAGATGCATTCGCATAAGGGAAGATTGCTCTACGTGCCGAGCTTATTTTCCAAAATAAAAATTTATTGAATTTACAGCTGCACACGGAGGTTGCCTACGTACCCAAGCAGGATCAAGCCGTTCGTAGTTTGCTACAATTATTGAATGAGTGTTGTCACTCAGGGGCCAAGCCGTCCTTTATTGATAAAATAAAAAGACTAAATATAAAAGCTGTGAGATTCTTGTCGAATCTACTCCGCTTGTTTGGTGTCTTCGAGGGCTTTTATCACGGAGAGTCGCACCTTGCGTTCACTAATAAAGCAGGATCTTGCCATCTGCTGATTGCCGCGAAGCGTGAAGATGCCGACCGAGGTAGCGAACTTCATGCATTGGTGGTAAGTCGACACGATAGCTTTCATCTCGTGGATCCAAGGTGTGCAAAGTATGACATTATAGATTGCCGGTTTATCCATTACAGTAAATTTGATAATCTTTGTCACTCCGCCGACGTAAACGGTCAGACGTATGGTGCCGAGGCTAAAGAAGGATTCGCTGGCAAAGCCAGTTAGTGGCTTTGGCGCTGCCTTGATATCTTTATCCTGGAGTCCCATCTTGGTCAAAGTGTCTTTGAAGATGATATTAACCGTGCTGCCGGTGTCCACCAGTATTTTGGCCACTTCGCTATCGTTGATATGTAACTCGACATCCAGCGGGTCGTTATGCAGGGAGTGTAACCCATGTATATCTTTTGATGTGAACGTGATCGTCGAATGGTAGTCCACGGGGCGAGTAAACTTCCGCAAGGTAATCCCTTTTCGTCCATATTCTTTGATGGCGCGAACTGAGTCATCGCAATCGGGGAGGCCTCCCATGATCATGTTAACCCGCCGCTTGGGCGGAGGGGGTGGATTGTCGTGTTCGCCGTTGTCGTTGTCGTGTTCTGCTCCCCTTTTCTTTTTCTTTTTCTTCTCGCTTTTTCTCGGGCGAACGACTTTGGCGTCTTCCTCCGGAACTGCTTCAGCTGCTGCTTTTCCCTTGATCTCGGCGATCCTTGCTAGAGGTACTTCGGCGCGAGTCCTTAGAGTTGGAGCTGCGTGAGTAGGAACTTTGTTCTGGGATCGGTCTCCGCCGACATTAATTTTTCCCTCATTGTATTTTTTCGTACAACGAGTTCTGGAGGTGTCGACAGGCTGAAGTAGCGTGACATGTTCGCCCATGGAAGGAGTAGTAGAGATCTTGTTGTTGTCCCTGTCATCTGAATTCCTTGGAGGATCACAACGGGTCCACTGATTCCAGGGCTTCTCTCTGGTGGCTACGACAGCATGGGAGGACGGTTTGCTTTTGCCCGCCGGATCCTTGTCTCGTGAGGTGCTCGCCACGTCCATGCGGTGCTTTTTCGCGTAGAAAGTTTTCTCCACTTCCATTCGTATGAAATTTTGAGCTCGGTGGAGTGCGTCTTCTATGGTTTCCTTCGGGTTCTTTTGAAAATCTTCTTTGAAAGTGGATTCAAACCATATGCCATTCATGAGTGCCTCGATGGCTAAAGCTTACGGGATCTGTCTGTATGCCGCGTCGGCGTCTTTGAATTTCTCAATGAAATCTCGGAGGGGCTGGTCGCGTTCCTGTATTAGAGTGAATAGGCTGACCGTCCTTTTCGCGATGAACATCGAGTAATGCTTTATGAAAGCATGGGACAATTCCTTGAAGGGTTTAATCGACGCTGGCAGGAGGTTGGAGAACCACTTGAGAGCGTCTTTGCTGATGTGCTCCACGAAGGTCTGGCAGTGATTAGCTTCGCGTTCGAGGTCGGTTTCAAACCGTTGCCTCTTCATGGCGACGTTGAAGCCGGTCAGCCATAGATTTGGGTCTTCCGTCCCATTATAGTATGGAAGCTTCAATTTGATTGCCGCGCCGAGACGAACATCAATGATCCGCGAGGCGAATGGGTTGTGTTTGGTATCTGACAGAATTACCGAGATCTCGGGTGCCGAGCTGGTGGCGCAGTGGACTTGAGATCCGATTGCGTTAATTCGCTGATGCAACCTTGCGATCTCAGAATTTAGTTCGTCGGTTGGTTCCTCATTTGCCGGTGCTGCGCCTCGAGTGTTGCCTTGCTCCGGCGTTTCGAAGACCAAACGCCGTCCTAGCGGTTCTGATCTCGCGGTAGTTGCAGCCGCTAAGGTGCTCAGTTGCTCGTCGTACTTGGCCTCCTGGGCCTGAAGGGTGTCTAGCTTGGACACCAGGTTCTATGTGAGAGGTAGTAGGACGGCTTGAATTGCTGCGGCGAGGGGAGGATAGGGGTCGGAAGTGCTCCCGCAGGTGGTGGGATCACGGTGATAGGGTTACCGTGCTCATCGAGGGCAGGCGTGTCGACGCGTGTGGTAGTATCCTCTACGTTAGAGGTGAGGTTGGTGAGGTTGCTGCTATCAGTCGGAAGGCTCATTGCTTCGGACTTATTGTTAGTTTTTTTTTTTAGAATTTATTTTCTTAGTTCCCCACAGACGGCGCCAATTGTTGAACCAGAAAATCACCACTAGGAATTTGATTAACAGTTGTGGGTTTCAGAGAACAAGTACTTTATTAATAGCTTATAGATGAAGCGATTACAAAGATTGGTATAACCGAGAGGTTATGCCGAAGTGAAAAGAAAGTGTTTGCGAAGTAAACTAGTAAGCGTTGAAGTTCTTGGTTTTAGCTCTGCTGCTCTCTAGATTATATCAGTTATCCTTCTTGTGATTCGGGGTCTTCTTATTTATAGGAATAGAAGGGCAGTTGCTCCGAACTCCTTTTCCTTTTTTTCTTAGGTGAATATTTCCATATTTGCGATATGTAAATATCTCTTGTTCTCCGAAGAATATGGAAATTCTCCTTTATCTTTTGAGTTGATCTGAAGTTTCCGGACTTCAAAGATTATCTTTGAGTGTTTTTCTTTTATCCAAGCTAAGTTAGCGCGGTCTTATCGGTTTTGATGAGCTTAGATTATTGTTAGAGTAAACAATTTAGGAAATATGCTCATTTCCCATATGATAAATAGATATTGAAACCAAGATTCAGCTTAGACCAGTT